TATGTCCAAGAGATTTTTGCCTATGTTTTTTTCTAAGAGTTGTATGGTTTCATGACTTATATTCAGGTCTTTGATCCATTTCGAATTTACTTTTGTGTATGGGGTTAGACAATGGTCCAGTTTCATTCTCTTACATGTAGTTTGTACAGTTTTGCCAGCACCAACTGTTGAAGAGGCTGTCATTAACCCATTGTATGTCCATGGCTCCTTTATTGTAAATATGTTTGGGTTAATGTCTGGAGTCTGTATTCTGTTCCACTGGTCTGTGGCTCTGTTCTTGTGCCAGTACCAAAGTGTCTTGATTACTGTGGCTTTGTTGAAGCTTGAAGTTGGAGAGCGAGATCCCCCTGACTTTATTCTTCCTTCTCAGGATTCCTTTGGCTATTCGGGGTCTTTGATGGTTCCATATGAATTTTAGAACTATTTGTTCCAGTTCGTTGAAGAATGCTGTTGGTAATTTGATAGGGATTGCATTGAATCTGTATATTGCTTTGGGCAGGATGGCCATTTTGACAATATTAATTCTTCCTAGCCAGGAGCAAGGGATGAGATTCCATTTGTTAGTGTCTTCTTTAATTTCTCTTAAGAGTGTCCTGTAATTTTCAGGGTATAGGTCTTTCACTTCCTTGGTTAGGTTTATGCCTAGGTATTTTACTCTTTTTGATGCCATTGTGAATGGAATTGTTTTCCTGATTTCTCTTTCTATTAGTTCATAGTTAGTGTATAGGAAAGCCACAGATTTCTGTTTATTAATTTTGTATCCTCCAACTTTGCTGAATTCCAATATTAGTTCTAGTAGTTTTGGAGTGGAATCTTTAGGGTTTTTTACGTACAATATCATGTCATCTGCAAATAGTGATAGTTTAACTTCTTCTTTACCAATCTGGATTCCAGGAGAGCTTTTATTTAGAGATAAAGTGAGAGGACAGAGCTCCTGGCTTGCGCCAGAAGGGAACAAGAGAGTCCATGGTGGTTCAGTGTCTAGGGGATTTATTGGTGGTTGAGAGACAAAGAGCTTGGGATGCAGACCTGCTAAACGGTCCTCAAATGCTTATCTTTGAAGAGACACTAAGTTTCTTATCAGTTTTCCAGATTATTTTGTAGAGTTAGCACAAGAAATTTACTGCTTTGATTCTTTCCCAGAATAGCAGCTTCTTTGTCTGGGAGCCTATCAATCAAGACTACCTGTCCTGCTCCCAAGGTGGGCTGAGTTATTGTCTGTTATGTTAAGAAACCTATTTTTTGACTTCTTTGGTTTTAAAATACAATCTCATCTTTAAGATGGAGATATCCCTGTTTTTACAATGTCGTTTGTGACTGGGCTTGCTTGCCATATTGTCCAGATTGTAAATTACTTGATTGGGGGCTGGAGGAGGAAAAACCAGCATTCGGGTAAAGTCAAAGAAAATAATATGGGCCTTTTAGCATGCTGAAGTAAATTTCACAGTAGCATGATTTAATTGACACAATGAAGACATGGGCTATGCTGACCTCATTTTCTTGTCTGGAGATAGTCAAACATTCCAGGCCAAGTTACTCCTGGCTTTTTAGTTTTAACTAATATCACTGAAGAATGCTTATATTCCTAGTTTTATATTTCCCTTTAGAGAATTAATGTGACTCTGGCTTTGCTTAATTGTTTAACATGGAATTTTGGTAGGGGTCTTTTTCCGGAGACCCTCACTCTGCTTTATCTAAACCCACAGTCCCTGTCTCATAAGCACATTAATGAAATTAGAAAATTTTAATTCAGACCGATTGAGGTCAGTGATGTCCCAAAACTGGGTGCGCCCCAGAGTCAGGAAGCTTCAAAATTCAGATGTATTTCCAAAACTCCACACTCAAAATTTCTGACCAATAGATAAAAGAGAAAAACCTGATTTTTAAAGCTCTTCAAGTGACTCTGGCTTAGTGTATGCAGTATCTCTGTAAAAGTCGTAATTAACAACTCAGCTTCTTTAGGCTGTGTACTCTGACTGATAAATATTAATGGAAAATGAGCTTTTTTGATATTTTAATTAATAATATTTTATGTTACTCTTAAGCATTAGTAATTCTTGACCTTCCTAATTTGTTCTTAATACATTTGTTGAAGAAAATCAACTCATGGTCATAGAGATTTTCATCGAAAGTTATTTTATGAAGGTATTATTTTGAAAATACTACATTCACAAAGCAATGTGATGAAATGCAGGGAATTGCTATTTTTTGATTTACAGATACTTTCAGTGGTTTCAGTTAATACTTTAGAGATGTAGAATTTGATTACTTAAAATCATTTGATTATTAGAAACCTACCAGCTTAAGAAACTGTTTAATAGATTATTTGAATTTACTTTTAGATTCCTTACTTGAATCTTATTTTTGTTTTCTGTTTGTTTTTGTTTTTCATTTTAAGGGTACTATAATCTTTATGATAGATACACTAGTTGGCTACTATGGAAACAGTGATCATGGTGTGACTATGTTTTGTGAGATGCTAGCACTGCTTTTGTTATGTAAGGTTTGGTTCTTAGATTTTTACAGTTTGCTCTGTATCTTATTAAAAATAGGAGATAATTGCTTCTATCTATTATAGTAAACATGATGTAATAATTGTGTTTAATAGTTTTGTTTTATAAATTAAGTTGTATGTCTTGCTGTTCAATAAACTAGACTTGCATTAAAAATAGAAACCTAGTTACCATGTATAAGTCCAATTTATATGGAGTAACAATAGCCACCTTGTAATTTTTTGATAAGTTTGGGAATATACCTTATTCCCAAATGATGTGGGGTTACTTTTTAATGGTGATTAGTTCCCCCAGCACTCAATGTATTGTAAAAAAAATTGTGTGTATGTGTTTGTCCTAGAAAACAAAATAGTGAATTTCTTAGTGGTGGCTGTGGAAAATTATATTTACTTAGGAAAAGTAGGTCTGGATAATTGCAGTAAGTATACTTTAAGGTTAAGCAGTATTAGGTTATTTCTCATTTGGACAGAGTATCATCAGGTTTTTTAGTAAATAAAGGAATCTATATTGAACCATCTTAAGGAATTTTTGTATGGAACTAGTTTCATGTCTTAATTTCTAAATTTATTTATATCATTTACTAATTAAAACATTCCCCAAGATGATCAGGATATATTTTGGGAGCCAATAGTATTGATTATTCCCCTTTAGACAAGCAATTCTCAAAGACAATTTGAGGTTATTACCATTGGTGGTAGGACTAGGAGTAAACTGTAATTATGCTTTTCTATAGTCTATACTGATATGCATTAGTAATTTTATAGAGAATTTTAGAGTTAAATTATAGCCCACTATCTTATAATGCTTGGTTAAATTTATTTCTTCCATGTGTAAATATAATTGGTAGTTGATTTTGTTACATGGACCAACATACTGACTTTGACCACTTACAAAAATGGTAGACTTGAGTAATTCTGGCTGTTGATCAGTTATGTCTTTATCTCTGAAATAAGTTAATCATATTTTTCAAAGGTATTATTTTAAAAATGTTTTGATTCTCCTTAGAGGTGAGTTTAGGGATGATTATTTTCCTCTTTATAGTCTTCTGTATTTTATGCAATTATTATGAATTCTGTTGTAATCAGAAAACATACTTTTTTTAATAAATTTCATAAAAAAATACTGTCTAGTTATTGAAAATAATAAGCAGGTAGATTATGGTGATACAGAAATATGTACATGAATATTGTTGGCAATAAAGATTGGAAGTGCAAATAAGTTTCCAATATGTTAAGCAGATTTATTTCTTGTTTCATATGAGCTTGTTCCAGGTCTCTGCTCATGAAAGACCATGCTCTCTGCAGTAAGAAGCTGTTTATGCAGTTGGTTATGATAAATGACCTGTAATTGTGAATTAGATACTGGGTTTTCAATATTGAATTTATTCTGTCCTCTTAATAGATATTAAAACTTCAGAGAATTTTTTTTAAAAAGAAATATGTATATGAAGTAATAGCATTAAAAAAGAACACTAAATACTACCATGATCACATTAAATTCTATTTTATGTGACTTGAAAAATATAGGAAGTAAATTTGGAGTGTTAGAGATAATTTAATATTTATTTTATCTTTTTTTTTCTGTAAAACGTCTATAAATTCTTACAGAGTAAGAATATCCTTCTCTTGAAAAATATTTTCAGTGTGTCCCTTTTTTATAGCCTATATAAAGCTTTCAGATTCTTAGGTAACATTTATATTCTCTTCATTCATCAGGGGAAAAGAATTTCTTTTTATAAACGGGCTCAAATCCTTGTGGCAGACACGTGGAGTGTGCTAGAGGGAAAAGGAGATGGCTGCTTTAGGGACATCTCCAGTATCACCATGTTTGCTGACTATAGATTACCTCAAGTTCTTGTTCACCTGGGAGCCCTGAAATACTCTGAGGAGCTACTAAAGAAGCTTCTCAAAGGTTTGCCACCTTAATGCATTCTTTGTTAGACAATGAATTGTTGTACTATAAATTGTGGCTGTCTAGTTTCGTTTACAAAAGGTTTCCTCTCCCTAGATAAATAAAGCACTATCTATTGTTAAAAGCACTCATAGAAATGCAAAGGCAACTAAAATACAGAGAAAATTGCTTTGTGTTGTTGCTTACACTCTGGAATATGGATATCATAGGGAATTGCACTATTTGGACGTCACAATTTCTGAGCCTCGTAATAAAATGAACCCTAAATTTATGTTACATGAAGGTGTGCAATACTAAGCTCATCAGGTATAGTATTTGAAAAGTGCTGATTAAGCTGAAGAGCACACTACACTGTGAAATAAAAGGTGGGCCGAGAAGTTAGGTGCTGGATTTTGAGTCTGGAGGCTCCAAGGCTTGCCACTGGGTTACCTTGCATGAGTCACTCACTTTTCTAGGCTTACTTATTTACTGTTACAGGATTTGGTCATTGATTCTTAGGAGTGGGAGCCTTATTATAATACATAAGTGTAGATAATAGTGTAAAAACTAGCTTTTGTTTTTAAACATTTCTTTGTCTAAGTGTATAATTTCTGTATTTATTTTTAAAAGAAAGCAGTTTTTTTTTGTTATCATTAATCTACAATTACATGAAGAACAATATGTTTACTAGGCTCCCCCCTTCACCAAGTTCCCCCCACAACCCCCATTACAGTCACTGTCTATCAGCTTTACTAAGATGCTGTAGAATCACTACTTGTCTTCTCTGTGTTGCACAGCCCTCCCTGTGCCTCCCCCTACATTGCACATGATAATTGTAATGCCCCCTTTCTTTTTCCCCGCCTTTATCCCTCCCTTCCCACCCATCCTCCCAGTCCCTTTCCCTTTGGTAACTGTTAGTCCATTCTTGGGTTCTGTGAGTCTGCTGCTGTTTTGCTCCTTCAGTTTTTCTTTGTTCTTATACTCCACATATGAGTGAAATCATTTGGTACTTGTCTCTCTCTGCCTGGCTTATTTCACTGATTATAATACCCTCTAGTTCCATCCATGTTGTTGTAAATGGTAGGATTTGTTTTCTTCTTATGGCTGAATAATATTCCATTGTGTATATGTACCACATCTTCTTTTTATCCATTCATCTACTGATGGACACTTAGGTTGCTTCCATTTCTTGGCTATTGTAAATAGTGCTGCAATAAACATAGAGGTGCATCTGTCTTTTTCAAACTGGGCTCCTGCATTCTTAGGGTAAATTCCTAGAAGTGGAATTCCTGGCTTAAATGATATTTCTATTTTGAGTTTTTTGAGGAACCTCCATACTGCTTTCCACAATGGTTGAACTAATTTACATTCCCACCAGCAGTGTAGGAGGGTTCCCCTTTCTCCACAACCTCGCCAACATTTGTTGTTGTTTGTCTTTTGGATGGCAGCTATCCTTACTGGTGTGAGGTGATACCTCATTGTAGTTTTAATTTGCATTTCTCTGATAATTAGCGATGTGGAGCATCTTTTCATGTGTCTCTTGGCCATCTGTATTTCTTTTTTGGAGAACTGTCTGTTCAGTTCCTCTGCCCATTTTTTAATTGGGTTATTTGTTTTTTGTTTGTTGAGGCGTGTGAGCTCTTTATATATTCTGGACGTCAAGCCTTTATCGGATCTGTCATTTTCAAATATATTCTCCCATACTGTAGGGTTCCTTTTTGTTCTATTGATGGTGTCTTTCGCTGTACAGAAGCTTTTCAGCTTAATGTAGTCCCACTTGCTCATTTTTGCTGTTGTTTTCCTTGCCCGGGGAGATATGTTCAAGAAGAGATCACTCATGTTTATGTCTAAGAGGTTTTTGCCTATGTTTTTTTCCAAGAGTTTAATGGTTTCATGACTTACATTCAGGTCTTTGATCCATTTTGAGTTTACCTTTGTATATGGGGTTAGACAATGGTCCAGTTTCATTCTCCTACATGTAGCTGTCCAGTTTTGCCAGCACCATCTGTTGAAGAGACTGTCATTTTGCCATTGTATGTCCATGGCTCCTTTATCAAATATTAATTGACCATATATGTTTGGGTTAATTTCTGGGGTCTCTAATCTGTTCCACTGGTCTGTGGCTCTGTTCTTGTGCCAGTACCAAATTGTCTTGATTACTATGGCTTTGTAGTAGAGCTTGAAGTTGGGGAGTGAGATCCCCCCTACTTTATTCTTCTTTTTCAGGATTGCTTTGGCTATTCGGGGTCTTTGGTGTTTCCATATGAATTTTTGAATTATTTGTTCCAATTCATTGAAGAATGTTGCTGGTAATTTGAGAGGGATTGCATCAAATCTGTATATTGCTTTGGGCAGGATGGCCATTTTGACGATATTAATTCTTCCTAGCCATGAGCATGGGATGAGTTTCCATTTATTAGTGTCCCCTTTAATTTCTCTTAAGAGTGTCTTGTAGTTTTCAGGGTATAGGTCTTTTACTTCCTTGGTTAGGTTTATTCCTAGGTATTTTATTCTTTTTGGTGCCATTGTGAATGGAAATTGTTTTCCTGATTTCTTTTTCTATTAGTTCATTGTTAGTGTATAGGAAAGCCACAGATTAAAAGAAAGTAGTTTTTAATGATTGAATAATTTCCTCTTGTGAAGTAGATTTCAATCACTCAAAATAAGAATAACACAGAATACAAAGGTACCATTGTTCTTGAGATTGCTTCTACCAGGTTTTTATGCTGCCTTGGGCAATCTGTTTTGTCCTTCTGCTTCCTCATTTGAAAAATAACAAGCTAATTTATTCTCATGCCCTGGGTTATTAGTTGTTGGATACTTTTAAAAGGGATAATATTTAGCAGTCAAGGCTTATTTTACATACAGTCATATTCCGCTTCCTTTTTTTTTTGGGTCTGTGTATACAGTACTGTTTCCTCTCTCTAAAGAGTCTTGTCTGGTTTCCCTCACCCCCAATTCTTTTCCAGTTCAAATCCTACACATACACAGGGCTTAGTTCAAATGCTACCCCTTTCACATAGCTCTTCTGACCTGATGATTTGTCCATCTCCTGAATTTTTGTGGCACCCACTGTCTCTGCTACTGTAAGAAAACCCCTCTTTTTACCAAAGGCACTTCTTTAACCCATTTCTTTACCAAAGGCATGTTTTTTAGCTAATTATAAAGACTGACAATGCAATATGACTAAATTCAGATTCTTCACTGTGGTTTTAGGACTGACTTTTAGGCCTAATACATTTGTTGTGTTGCCTTCCCTGACTCTCTCTGTTTGTCAGTCCTCTCAAATGATGTCATTCTTTTTCTGTGTTAAGGTCCATGTCCCATTTCCATACTGCAAGTTGCTGTATTAGTTACTTTATTAGTTCCCTATGGCCAACATAATAGATTATCACAAACTGGATGGCTTAAAACAACAGAAAATTTATTCTCTCTCAGCTCTAGAGCTGGATGTCTGAAATCAAGGTGTTGGCAGGGCCATGCTCTTACTGAAGGCTCATGGGAGGAATCCTCTTGCCTCTTCCCAGCTTATGAAGGCTCCCCAGAATCCTTGGCATTCATTGGCTTATAGCTACATCACTCCATTTGGCCTTCTTCCCTGTGTGTCTTCTGTCTCCTTGTATCCTTTCCTTTCCTTCGGAGGATACCAGTCATCTAATTAAGGGCCATCCCAATCCAGTATGAGCTTATGTTAATTAGATCTGCAGGGACAGTATTTACAAATAAAGCCATATTCCCAGGTAATAGAAGTAAGGAATTGAATATATCTTCTGGGGGGAAACAATTCAACACTGTAGTTATTTATTACTGTGTGTAACAGTTATACTAACATCTGACTTAAAACAACTTAAAAAGGCTTAAAATAGCAAACATTTATTATCTTAACTGGGTGCCTCTGGCTCAAGGTTGCAGTCCAGTTGTCAGCTAGGGTAGTGGTCTTCTCTAATAGTTCTACTTGGGTGGGTGTGGTATCTGCCTCCAAGGTCACTATTGTGATCTTGATGTGGCAATTCTGGCAAGTTGGCATTCAAGTTTGGAGGAATTGATAAGGAGAACTGAAGAGGAAGGGGTGGATTTGTATTCTAACACCTAGGGCAAAGTAAGGAAGTGGAGGGGCAGGCAAGTGTCTGTTCTCCCACCTGCCGGTGACCAGTGCCTTGGCCCTGGGGAGAGATGGATGGAGGGCACATAACTACTGAAGATCCCAGGTGACAGAGTGGAACCCAGTGGGGCTGGGGCATTTTCCCTGCGTCTCAGTGGTTCACAAGGTACTGTGACTCTGCAAGGGTGTAGATAGGCCAGGGACCAAATACAGCCTGCAGATGTGATTTGTTCAGCCTCCATGGTGCTTTAAGCTATCGGCCCTAGTCTTTGAGGAGATATCCCATGAAAATCAAACTTTCTGACTTGTAAAAATAGAGAAATACAGGAACTGCCTAAAAATTGGTCTGCCTTTGGACCAGCCAGCACACTAGCTCACCACAGTTTGCATCTGGCTGCTGCATTCACTTACTCTGCCTGATTCTCATAGGCAGTTGAGTTGATGATACACGCTGGAAAGGGGCACTGAGTAGGCTGTGGGTCCTACGGGAGTGCAGCTCCATATTCAGGCAGAGCTAAATGAAGGATCCTGGATCCAAAAGTTATGGTCTTTTTATTATTTTTTTATTGAAGTATCATTGATATTATATTGGTTTCAAGTATACAGCACAGTGCTTCAACAGTTACCCGGTATTATTAAATCCTCACCCCCACTAGTGTGGTTGCTATCTGCCAACAAAGGAAGGTGTTACAAAATCACTGGCCATATTCTCCATGCTGTACTACCATCCCCATGAAAAAGTCATGCTCTCCTTTACTCAAGTTAACAACTTTGATTTCCTAGGTTCTCATTCTCCTTGATGCCCATAGGGTATTGCCAAGACTGTTCTGTTCTCAAGTGGGAAAGGGAGGTGCTGTTTATTTGGCCTGGGAGTCTTTAAAATTTTGCAGTAATACAGTTTTTCCTGACATCAAGTCCAATTTTTATAACTTTTATTTTCAATAATTTAATAATCTTGCTGTCATATTTTAAAATTTATGGTTACCCAGTATTCATTTGGCAAATATTTATTGGAAAGGTGGTATGACAAGGTGCTAGACAAACATGGCAGCCATGATCCTTGTCCTTGCAGAACTTGCAATTTTGAATTAATGCCTGAGTTTAGAAATGGTTTGAATTGCCAGAAATAATTAGTCTGAAGTTTACAGTTTTAAAATGAATACTATTTAAATACTGTGTTTTGTCCTACAGTAAAGTTCTGAGTTGACTTTATATCATTGACTTATCACTCTGTTTTTTATCCCTTGCAGGAGAAATGCTCTCATATGGGAATAGGCAAGAGGTGGAAATCAGAGGGTGTTCACTTTGGTGTGTTGAGCTGATCCGGGATTGTCTTCTGGGGCTTATTGATAAAAAGGGTGAAAAAACTAGTGGAGAAATCAATTCCATTCTTCTGGACTTTTACTTATGGGACTATGCCCGTGATCACAGGGAAGACATGAAAGGAATTCCATTTCATCGTACACGTTGCATATATTACTGACCCAAAGTGTAACCTGACTCAGAGAAAACTCCTTGCATTTTTATATCACATAATCATTTGTACAATTTTGCGTTGTTATTAAGAGAAGGTGATAGACGTTATAGCAGCAAGAAAATTGATTACATTGTCTCACTTAAAAGTTTTTTACTGACATATCACTCTGTATCCCCAACTTTACCCTTTGTTTGCTTGTTTAGTTTTGACTCAATTTTCCCTTCCTGTGGACACATGACAAAAATCAGTGAAGGGACTTTAATGCTTTATTTCAATTTCAAATTTCTTAAAATTAATCATGCATTATAATATGATTAATCTTCAATGATAATGTATCATCCATTCAGTTGGCTGTTTTTTCTCAAGGGGTAGTGATTTTCTATATACCTTAGTCATGTGATATGAGAGAAAGAAAGGGTAGGGTCTTTGCTGTGTGAATGCTGCTGCTCTTGTAAAAATCTATCTTGACAGCTTATTTTAAACTTTTTATTGGTAATGATAGTGGGTTTTGTACATAATGATTTTCAGTTTAGGTTATCTCTCTGTCTTGATTTCTTTTTCCAGAGCAACTACATTGAAATTGGATAAAGATTTTTAGTGGTGGGGACTTGATCATAGGGGGGAATGTAGTAACCACAATGTTACTCATGTAAAATTTCGTAAGATTGTATATCAATGATACTTTAATTTTTAAAAAGGTTCTTAAAACGTGTCAACCTGGAATGGATTTTTTCATTAAAATAGAATTTTCCACATATAATTTTAAAAGGTTTACAATAATTTGATTAATTACTTTACATTGAAGAATTCTCTTTACCTACCATGCACTCATTTCCCACCTTCACCCCTACCATCCTTCTATCATCATCTTGACTTTTTGTTAGCTGTCTACCTTGAGCTCCCTGAATCCCGAAAAGGGATCCTTTTCCCAAGCACTTTACTGCCATCTGCTGCAACTGCCAAATGATTGATTGAGTGCAATTGGGGCAGTGCCCAGCTTTCACCACCATAAGCAGTGGTCCTATATCTGTCCCTCCCCACGCCACTCGGGAAGGTGATGCCATCCCCAATTCCAGAGGTAAGCCTAAGTTCACGTGAATGGTTTATTCATACTAATCCTGTGCTCTGCCTGTGACTGCCTTAGTAATGGGTATATGTCTAGTTCTGGCCTGTGACATTGGAGAAGTCTGCAGGGAGGTTTCTGGGAAGAGGTTTCTTCACTTTTAAGAAAGACGTAGGAAAGGTCCCTCTTCTTCCTCTGGTGATGTTCTGTCGTTGTCTGAGGCTGCAATATAGCCTTCAGGGCAGCCGGAGCACCCCACACCTGCCCTGCCTCGGCCCATCCCAGCTTTGGACTTCATTCTTGAAAAAACACATTATCTTATTGCCATCATTTTGAATTAGTTCTCTGTAATTGTAGTAGAAAGTATCAAAACCAGTAATTTTTAATTTAACTGGTTCTCAGGAGGCTGCAGGCTCCAGAAAGTGGAAGTGAAACTGTCTCCTGGACTTAGGGCCTTGCCACACCCCACCTCCTGCCGCCCTTCTGGCTCCTCTCCTCCAGTCTCCACCTGTGCCTCTTCTCCCACTGCTTCTCTTTCCCCTCCTCTCTCTGCTCCCTTTGCTCTCCCCTCCCCTTTCCTTCCTCCTCCAGGCTCAGCCCACTCTAGGCCTCATGCTTTCCCACAGTTCATTTTTCCACTGTGTAAAAATAGAAGCTACCCGGGGCTACATGGTGCTCTTTGGTGCCCAGCTGTCTTTTCTCTTGTGCTACCGAGCATAGCCTGGACTCATGCTGCAAGATGTCTGCCATCTCATCAAGGCAGCAGGACTGAAGAAGCAATGAAGTTGAGAGCAAGGGTTGACTGGAAGACTAGCAGCGACCACATACATTTTTGCTTCCATTTCACTGACTACAACTTAAATCATATGACCACAACTAACTGCCAGGAGCCCAAGAAAGAAGTCCATATTCTGGGCATTGGGTACCAGCTAACCTATGTAAGTAGTGTGGATGAGTATTGGGAAAGAGCAGGTTTCTGCCACCATGTCTGGATTTTATAATTTTCATATGTGATGGACACTAAGAATTTAAATTACATTTCACCTAGTGGTTTTAAAGCCAATGACAACCATTTTCCAGATCTATATCATTAGGGTTTACCAAATGGTAATGTTCTTGTTTTTGTGGGTCTTGTGCAAGGATAACATCTCTCTTTATGGATTAAGGTAGTATGGGGAACATAATGTGCGTGGAGTGAGCTCCTGAAGTTCCAGAAGATGAGAATGTAGAAATAGGATCTGGAAAGTTTTCTTGATTGTTTTGATTCCTTCCGCACACCCTCTTAAAGACAATCAATGAAAATATGTGCACTCCTGGAGCCACCAGCTCACAGCCCTCCATTCAGAGAAGTTCTCTGTTTGCTGTTGCTAAGCCAGTTTTCTAGCAGAGACTAAATATTAGTTCCAATTTCTTGGTTGACTCAGTTTCTTTTCATAGCTTTTGCTTTGTAACAAGTTCAAAAATATCCTGGCTTTTTTTTTACCCATATTTCATTACTTCTTTGACAGCCATCTTATGATTTGTCTCCCTCTACAAATTCAATTGAGTCTGGATACCATGTCAGTGCCCTCCACCCAAAGTAAATAGTTTGGAATACTTGTTTAGCGTGGGAATTTGGGAGATGGTCTGATGAAGTAGGGTTCTCTCTAGAGTGGCTGCTATCAGAAACCAGGCGCAAATCTACTACTGGCTAGCTCAATAAATCTTACCCATAAGGAGAGTAGCCTTGTGCAAGGAAAAAAGCTGGAACTGGTAAAGAAGCAACAGTCACCCATTGTAGCCAAAGTGGAAGAATATGTGGCACTGTGTGTGTAGCATGGTAGCCTTATTTTTGTCTGCTTATGCCATAGTAGATAGCCAGACACGAACAAGGAGCGGGTTGGGGACTTCAGCTAGTGTTTACATTCAGTTAGATGCTTGTTTATATTTTAAACACTGTGTAAACTGTTCTCATGGGATGTGGGGAGTGAGGGTTTACATGACAGACATGCCAAAACTAACTGGTTCCAACATGGAGAAGTAGACCCTGATTTCCCCTCAAAATACTTAATACACTCATTAACAGTAAAAATCACGCCTCCCTGCACCATGACAGTTCAGAGGTAATGAAAAGCAGAAAAAGAGACATGAACCGGGTGGAGAGAGAATAAAGGGACTCAAAGAGTTAACCAGATAAAACTATAAAGCCAAAAGGGACTCACAGAGTTAATGAGTTAATTAGTTGAAGTTTCAAAGACCAAGAGCAACTTGAAATGTCCGGGTATTCCCCAGATAAAGAAAAGTATCCAAGCTCAACCATACAACAATGAATTATACCAATCAGATCATGCAGATGTAAAATCTGTTTAGCCTGCAAAAAGATCCAGCTTATTCTTTAACTTAACCTATATGCTGTTTTTAACTCTTCTTCCAGCCCCTTAATCGAGTAACTTTGTAACCAGAGCAGGACACAGACCTCAGAAGTATAAATAAACCTTTGTGGACAAAGAATGCTGAAATCCAGGTCAACGAGTCACCTAAATAACCCTATTCTTTTTTTTTTTTAATTAAGGTATCATTTATATACACTCATATGAAGGTTTCACAAGAAAAGCAATGTGGTTACTACATTCACCCTTATTATCAAGTCCCCGCCCCATACCCCATTGCAGTCACTGTCCATCAGTGTAGTAAGATGCCACAGAGTCCCTACTTATCTTCTCTGTGCTAAACTCTGACCCCACACACACTGTGTGCACTAATCATAATACCCCTCAATCCCCTTCTCCTTCCCTGCCCCACCCCTCCCCTTTGGTAACTGCTAGTCCCTTCTTGGAGTCTGTAAGTCTGCTGCTATTTTGTTCCTTCAGTTTTGCATCATTGTTATACTCCACAAATGAGGGAAATCATTTGGTATTTGTCTTTCTCTGCCTGACTTGTTTCACTGAACATAATACCCTCTAGCTCCATTCATGTTGCAAATGGTAAGACTTGTTTCTTTCTAAATACCCCTATTCTTAAGACAAAAATTAAAAGGAATTATAAATCACCTGTCTACATTATGCCCTTTGCTGACCCTTACCCAGCAAGTCCTATAAAACCCCAGACCCTACACCTTTAAGCACTCCTCTGAGGTTTCCTGCACTCCCCTTTCTTAGTGTATCACTCTCTGTTCTACTCCAGATAAGTAGGGAGGGGTTGCTGAGATCTCTGATTTGGGCTTGCAAGTTCCTGTCGCCTGGGTGATGTGGACAGAATTTCAGCTATATGAACGTGCCCCATAGAAGGCTGCCTAAAAATCTCCTTTCTTTGCCTTTGGGAAGTTCTCAGAACATAATCTCATGCCATCCAGTGCTCTGCAGCTCCCCCAAATCCTGGGGTGGTAGGGACTTAGTTCCCTTGTAGTGCAGATCCAAGCAGACACTGGACTCCAGGTGCCCCTGGTTTTAGGAGTTGTCAAGGGATATGCCCAATGCTTAGCAGGAGTTCACTGAATTTCCCCTTCCTCCCTCTGTTTTTCCTTCCTCTGCTTTATTCAAGTAAACCTGCCTTTGTCTACCTTTACTCTGGCCTGCTCCTCTCTTGGAGTGTATTCAAATAAAACTTTCATTCTGCTTCACTACTGTGTCTCTGTCCTTCAATTTGTCATGGCGGGGACAAGAACCAAGGAGAACAAATTCAACCCCAAACAGCAGCCCATCTAAGGACAAAAAGAGGACATCACCCTACTTCTTAGAAATCCCTTCCCTATTCTGAGAAAACTCCATATATTCTGATGACTATTCCACCCCCTGCTTAAACTCCAGCCATAAGACCACCCAACCGGAATCTTACCATGCTGCTCACCTCTGGATCATACTTGCACTCTTTCCTTGAGTGCGTACTTTTGCTTTAATAAGCTACTCTGCTTGCACCTGCTCCCCCTGCTAGTGCATTCTTTCTTGATCAGAGTCAAGTACCCTCTCGCAGGTTGAGGTCTCCCCTAGAGCGCAGGAAGACCTCCCAGGATTGGATTTCCTGACAACGCTTAGGCAAAATTATCAACTGGCCATATTTTGTCTTACTTCATCATGGTTTCTGAGCAACCTTGTCTAATGTTGGAACTCTGAAAATACATTCAATGGAAAACAGAAGAACAACATGGCATAGCTGTGCCAAGCCAGCTTTTGTCAGGGGCTGCTTTTGTTCCTTCACAACCTTTAACTTCCCCTGATTAGCACCAAAGAAATTAATAGAGATCATTCAAATCAATTCAGAAATCACTTACTGGGCTTCTTCACTGTGCCCCATCTCCTGAAGCAGAATGGGTAATGGCTTAATAATCTGGTGGAGGACGTACAAGTTTAATGAGCCACAGTATGTGATTTAGGAATTAGCCTTGAGGCAACTACACTTTCCTTTTCCTTATAACTCTGTGACCCATCTCTCTCAGTGTGCTTAGACACATTTTTTTTCTTGTAACTTCAGTTTGGGATTAGACTTTCTACTGTAAAAAACAAAACCTGAACAAGTAAGGAAATTGATTTTATTCAATCTAGTGCAATATGAAGAACACCCCAGTTTCAAAGATCAGAGTCTCTTGGCAGGGCAGTGTTGCCCTAGTCTTTTATAGAGGAGTAGGCAGGTTACAGGTGGGGGGATCTACAGGTGGGATTTCCTGTTTTTCAGTCAGGACAAGTCTCAGTCAGTTCTCTGAACAAGAAATATTTATTTCTGTGTCTACCTAGTTTGAGGCAAACGGTTCTAATCTCAGCTAATATTCACAAGACAAAGAAGGAGGAATTGGAGAGTCCAGCCTTGTTAGGTTTAGGCAAAAGGGGAAAGACCTGTGTTTAGCCTGTCACAGGTACACAAAGGAGACCTGAGAAAAGGTCCACAGTTAGTTTTATCTAAGTCACATAGAAAAGGATGATCCTTTTGGGTAACCATAAACCCAAACATAAAAGGCTGTGAGATTTTGGAAAACAAAAGGTTGGAGGGATTTCTTAATGTCACTGTTTTCCAAAAGTACTGAGCTCAGGTAAAGTTCAACTTTGTCACCACTGTTAAAATGAAAAACACAGGCCCAACTGGGGGTCACTTCTAGGTCAGGTCACCAAACTGGGGCTTAATGCCCAACATGTGGATGAAATCCATTCTGCTTCTGAAAAAAAAGACCCCCTCCTTGCCAGACTTGCCAGACTTGCCAACCTGATATCCTTGTAAAATGCAACAGTCTGCCCCTGAATCAAATACATTAGGATAGTAAACCATGACAGTAAATTAAATGAATGATCGAGACTGTGGGAAACCCAAGACAGCTGCTTGATTTTTTCCCAGCTCCCCATTAAACCCCATCTTTCAGTTTTTGCATTTCTTCACACACCTTAGTACATTTAAGGAAAATTTTTTTTGTCCTCAGAGGTCCCAACCTTCTCCCTCTGGGCTTTTTGAACACCTGCAGGTGGACTTCACTCCACTGCTACTTAGTATGGGTTATCAGTATGTTCTTGTTACTGTAGGTATGTTTTCTGGATGGTTTGAAGCCTTCCCTTATTGCAAGACTGATGCCCTCACAGTGGCAAATAAACTGTTAGAGAATGTGTTTCCCACCTGGAATATACTTCTTTAATCCCCAGTGATTGAGATACCCACTTCACTGGGCAAATTATATGAGCCTTAAACAAAGACCTTACACATTTCTTGGGATTTCACTGTGCCTATTCTTAGGCAGGAAAATAGGTATGAGCAGGGTGGAAAGAGAATAAGGACAGTGAAGCCCACTAAAAGGGACTCAAAGAATTAACCAATTAAAACTAAAGAGGCAGAAAAGACTCAGAGTTAGTCAGTTAATCAATTGAAGCTCAAAAGGCCAAAGCAACTTGGCCTGGAATGTTTGATTATTCCTCAGATAAAGAAAAGTATCTCAGCATAGCTGGAGTCTTCATTGTGTCAACTAGATCATTCCATTGTAAGATTTACGTTAGCCTGCTAAAAGGCCCAGCTTATTTTTTAACTTTATCTATATACTGTTTTTCCTTCTCTAGTTCCTAATCAAGTTGTCTGCAATCTGGGCAAAGGATAAGCATCATGATTATTTTAGCAAGAAAGCCTAGCTATAAACAGCATAGTAAAAAAAGAGGAAGATCCCATCATAAAGCTAAAATTGCATTTTAAAACCCAGGAAGTTAAGAAGTAAGATTCTTAGCGTACTCTTTAGCAAACAGACAATAACTAAGCCCACCTTGGGGCAGGGCAGGCATCTTAATTTATATGCTTCCAGACCAAGAAATTGCTATCCTCGGAAGGAATCAGAGCAGTAAATTTCTTCTGTTAAGTTAATTTTGCAGAATTATCCAAAGGACTGAAAAGAGTCTTAATGTCTTATCAAAGATAAACATTCTGGGACCACTTAACAAGTCTGCACCCCTTAGCCCTTTATCACATTCCTAAATCTTGCCTATAAAACCCCTAGACAATGCCCAACCACGTACTCTATTGTCCCCTCCTGGAGGGCTCCAGGAGCTCTGTTCTCTCAACTTATCTCTAAATATAAGTGTAAGATAAATTCTAACCGAATTAAGCAGGCGATGAGAGGCAACAAAGGGCCAGGCAGTTTATTTGAGCGCAATCCCAGGCAAGGTTCACCAGTCTGCACCAAGACAGGCTGGAGAAGTAACCCCTAAAGAAGGTAGGGGGAGGCATAGATTTACAGCGACGTGAGGATTGGCTAGCCTAAGGCACATTTTTCAGGTTGGGAGGGGGCAGCAGCCGGGGGCTTTGGCACGTCATCAGTGTCTGATGTGCTCACCCCTCCCTTCAGTGCCTCCAACCTTACATTCCAGCCTTTGGGTTATAATGGGTGCTGACTCGATCTGGCTACTTCCAGCTGAGAAGGGGCAGGGCAGGTAGCGTTGAGGCTGATGGGAGGCCAGAGGCAGCTTGGAGGGAAGGGGTGAGTACTGATGTACCCACATGGTCTTGTGCACTTCTACTGTCCGACCTCTCTATTGGTGGCTGGAGGTTCTAGAAGATATGTTGTCTTCGTCTCCCAGGACAGATATGTCTACCATGATCACTTGGCTTTGCCCCTTCTAGTGCTGTAGTCTGGATGATAAGAGACAGACTGAGGCTTGTTCATAGCAGGCAGCCTGGATGAAAGAATGGAAAGATGAGCATTGGGCGGGACAAGGGGTATCTTTCTTAGGAGTGAGAAATAAGGTAGGTAGGAGAGGTGTCCAGGGGAACTTGAGATAAGAGAGTATAAGGGTTAGGGATGACCAGGTGAAGAGGGACTACAGCTTCGTTGATTATCTGCAGGTCTTGAACAAGCCGATAGGACCCTGATGGCTTCTTGACTGGAAGGATTGGAGTGTTAACAGGGAGAATTAGTAGGTACCAGAAGCTTTTGGGAAAGAAGATGGTTAATGATAGGTTGGGTGCCCTTGCGATGGGCTTGGGAAATAGGAAATTGTGGTCTAGAATGAGAGGAGGATGGGTCTTTGAGGTGGATGAGGACTGGATCATGATGGCTCAACACTACAGGAGTAGAGGTGTCTCAGACTATTGGGTTAATGCCAGTTGACAGTACAGGAGGGTCTGTGGAGGGCT